TGATGATCTTTAATGTCAGACATGTATCTTTAACTTATCAATCCATAAACACAACGTGCTTACCCTGAGCTTAACGTGGTGGATGGAAGCCCAAAGGAATGGCTGATCCAGCCCTTCATTCCCTCCCTGGCACCAGCAGCAGCTCAGCTCTGCTCCTCTCCAGGCTCTGGGGGGGCACTGGGCTGGTGGCTCGGGTGGTGACAAGGACCAGCACTCCCCTGCAGCCAGAGCCCTGAGCAGCCCTCGGGAAGCTGGGCATGGGGTGGACAGACAGTTCATTCCCCCTTGGAGCGTGGGGGAGGGCAGGGAGGTGGCAAGGCCTAGGAGAAGGCAGGCAGTGTGGGGTGGCAGGGACTGGGGGCTCCCAGGGGCTGCCTGACCATGTCCAGCAGAGCCTGTGCCCGCTCCTGCAGCTCTGGGGTGTTCTGGTGCTGCTCCAGGGCCTGGTGCCCGCCTTGCCTGGTGAAATCAGCAGCAGCCTGTGCCAGAGGAGAGGGGTGAGAGCTGGCCAGGGGCTACAGCTGATCATGTCTGCCCACAGCCACCACAGCCCAGGGAACGGGGCTGGAGGAACTTCCCAGAGCCCTCACGGACACCACATTCCCAAGCCAGGTAAATCCCACCATGCTGATGGTTGGTTGGGAAGGATCTTAAAGACCATCTTGTTCCACCCCCTGCCATGGGCAGGGACACCTTCCACTAGCCCAGGCTGCTCTGAGCCCTGATTAACCCAGCCTTGGACACTTCCAGAGATGGGGCACACAGCTTCTCTGGGCAACCTGTGCCAGGCCCTCCCCACCCTCACAGCCAAGAATTTCTTCCTGTGGTCTTCACTAAATGAAGCAACCACAGTGCAATGAAAAGAATCCACCCGTAATAACCCCAGAGGGTACAAACAACCTGCCCAAACCCCAGTCCTGGTTGATGAAAAGGATCTTTCCAGAGACACAAGAAGGGCTTCCACCTTCTGCATCACAGTTTCCCTTTGGGCAGGGAAGTGCTGAGGGATGGGGGGTAGTGTGGTGGTGACTGAGGGCAGCATTTTTTAAAACTATAATAATCATCCCCCTTCCATAATAATAACCTCCACAATAAGAATTCCCTGCCCCTTTATTGTGCCCTGGAGCCCTCCCCAGCTCTCACCTGTGGGCAGTGCAGGAAGAGGAGGTGCAGCAGCTCCAGGCACTGCCCCAGGGCCTCTGGGTCGGGCAGGGCGAGGATGGGCAGCAGCAGGGGCAGGATGGGCTGTTGGAGCAGCCGCTGGCACTGGAACGGTCCCTTCTCCGCGATATTGCACAGCACGGTCAGCACCTGCAGGAGCAGGGAACACCTCGGGGGCAGATTCCTGACAGGCTGGGGAGGGCTGGGAACAACTCCCATGGCATGGAATCACAGCATGGTTTGGGTCGGAAGGGACATTAAAGGTCATCCAGTTCCACACCCCTGCCATGGGCAGAACCACCTTCCACCAGCCCAGGTTGCTCCAAGCCCCATCCAGCCTGGCCTTGGACACTTCCAGGGATGGGGCAGCCACAGCTTCTCTGGACAACCTGTGCCAGGGCCTCCCCATCCTCATAGCCAGGAATTCCTTCCCAATATCCCATCTAACCCTGCCCCCTGGCAGTGTGAAGCCATTCCCCCTTGTTCTGTCACTCCAGACCCTTGTCCAAAGTCTCTCTCCAGCTTTTTTTGTCCTGCCAGGTGCTCGCCCAAAGCCATGTGCCCACCAAGCCCCTGGATTTTCAATGCTCTTTACAAGCCCCTTCCATGCCCACCCCAAGGCACTGTTTATCCCCGTGCCAAGCAGACCCAGCTGTGCCACCCACCCCTTGGCAGCGTGTCCCCCCAAGCCTTCTAAAGCTTTGGGGTCCTCCAGAGCAAGGTGTCAGCAGCCTCCCCTGGCTCACTCCAAGTGAGCATCTCCCTTGGAACTGCTCTTGTGCTGGGACAAGGCTCTGCCAGGGGTAAATACAGCTGGATTGGCTTCAGGGGAGGTTGCTGGTGACTGTCACAACAGACCTTCTGCCAAGCTGTCCCTACCACCCCATCCACCCTCCATCTCCAGCACTGTCAGGGTGGGATTCATGTTCCTGGAACTCCAGCGCTTCCCCACCGTTCCTAAGGCACGAGGTGAGGTCTTACCAACACACTGGCCATCTGGGAGCACTGCAGGAGCTGCAGCAGGGCCGGGAGCAGGTCCAGGGAGAGCAGAGCGGAGCAGAGGAAGGGACTGTCCGCTGGGGGGGCCGAGAAGGGACGTGTCAGTAAAACCAGGGCAGGTCCCAGCAGTGCTCCGGCTGTGCCGGGGGACACTCACCCGTGAGGTTGTTCAGCAGCCACAGGCACTCCTGGACCAGGAATGGGTGCTGCTGGAGGAAGCATTGCAGGAGGAGGAACAGGGCGATGAGCAGGCGCTCATCCCGCACCTGGCAGCCCGTCTCTGCCAGCAGGTTGCTGAGACACCGCAGCACGGGGCACACGAGCTGTGACAGACAGAGCGACACACACAGCCCTTCAGCTGGACCCAGGAGCAGCAATCCCGGGAACAGCCAGCACCCTGCCCGCCTCTCACCAGCTCCAGGCCCTCGGGAGCATCCTGGGGGATTTCGGAAGCCAGGTGGAGCAGGAGCGAGGTGAGGGTGGGCACAGCCCCCAGCCCCAGCAGCACGGTGTTGGATTTGTGCCTGCAAAGGGGAGGGACAGTGGGGTGGCTCTTGGAGCTTGGAGAGCGAAAACTGCCACAGCCCCTTGCCAAACAACAGGGCCTGGAAATTCAGAGCACCCTCCTGAACTACCACAGGGCTTATTTCATGTTGCAATAGCAGGGTTTTTTCTAAGCTTCCAAGAATGTTTAAAAGCCCATAAAAAACAGATTCACTGGAATTATCTGTATGGGTCTGGAAGCAACAGCCCCAACCCTTCTTTGAGTACCCCCACATTCCTTGTCTCCTGTGGCAGGCAGGGATTGCTGGCACAACCAGCCTGGATGGGTGGCACTGAGCCAAGCCCACAAGTGTGAGGATTCAGGGAGCTTGCTTTGGGAACCGTGGGGGACAACTCCAGACATGAGGAGGAGATCTGGGGGCATTTCAGAGGACCAGAAACAGCCTCCTCAGGTTTATCACCCATTACCACCCTATAAAGGAACTCAGTGATCCTGCAAACAGCCCATGTGTGCTCAGATATGAGGGCAGGATACCCAGGATGGCAGAGGAATTGCTTTCCCAAGGGAAAAGGGCAAGAGGAGGAAATCCAGTCCCCTCACAGGACCATGAGCCTTCATGCCTCTGTTTGGCTGCCCCTGGAGAACTCAAAACGAGGAGAAAAGCACATTTACCTACAAACGATATAGTGGAGACACCAGGCAAACTCCACGGCTGCTCCCAGCCCAGCCTTGAGGCTGAAGCACACGAGGCGAAGCATGTGCTGGGGGAGGACGGAGTCCAGGACCTGCCTGGGGTCAGAGAGCAGAGTCAATGGAGGCACAGGTAGGACAGACACTGACAGGGAGGCACTGACCCTGGCCACTGAGCAGGGAGATGTCACACCCCACACCGGCAGCAACATGCCCCCAGTAAACACCTGGAAGAGACTCTCAGCCAAAGGCTGCAGCCTTGGGCTCTCCCTGTCCATGGCAGGGCCTGGGGGCACTCAGGACACCTTGGCTGAGGTCATATTTTTGGCACTGAGGGCTGTCAATCTGATCTTTTCCTTCACAGGAGGAACACAGCCAGAACTTCCCTGCGAGCCCACCCTGCTCCACACTGGCTTTCACCAAAATACCAGAGCTGTCTGTTTGGATGAGGCTGAGGGAAAGGAGCCAAGCCCTGTGCCACGATCCACATCCAAACCCCCACAATTCAGGTGGGATTCTGCCCTAGACTATTAACATCACTGGGATGGGAAAGGTCCCATGTCCCCGGCACACAAATACCACACTGAGCCCCAGGGCCCATCCTGGTGCAGGATTCAGAAGCTCAGACTCACGGGATGATCTCCACGGGTGATTCCTTGGCTTGGAGGAGCTGTGAGAGGACATAACCCACACCTTCCAGCACGGCCTCGTGTGGGGACTGCAATCAAACAGAACAGAGTTGATCCCTCCTGGCAAAGCCGGGGGCCCACAGTGCCAGACCCAACCCAGCAGCTGAGTCCCACTGTGCCCGGAGGAGAGGGGGCACAGAGGGCACTGGGAGGGACACAGGAACCTGTGGCCACACCAAAGCTGAGCCATCCCCCTCCCCACACTCGCTGGGCTGTGGCTGTAGGGGTCTAGGAGCCCAAATGCAGACCTGCAAAGCACTGCCCCAACCCAGGCAGAGGGGAGAGGCCTGCAGCTCCCTGTGTTACAGACTGTATCAGCAAGCCACTGGGTGGGAGAGATTCAGCTGGAGAGGAGCACAAGGTGGTGAGCTGAGCCCCAAAAATGGAGTGCAGGAGAGCCCAGGAGTGACCCTCACACTCGAGGGAACAGCTCCCTGCAGAGGGGTCTGTGCCCACAGCCAGGGCTGGAAGGAGGGCTGCTCACTCAGGGCTGTCAGCCAGAGAAGTCTCTCTAGGGCAGGGCAGGAGGAGAAGTGTGGCTGAGCTGTTTCACCCACCTGGATGCAGGATGCCAGCACTGGAATGACGCCCTGAGGCAGAAGTTGCTTCCTCACAGCTTCACTTTCTACTACGAGGTTCCCCAGTGTGTACAAACACAGCTCCTGCAACACACCAGAGCAGTGACCCTGTCTGTGCTCCCCTGGGCAAAGCCCAGGTCCCACACCCTCCTCCGAGCAGGGCAGAGCTGAATTCAGACACACAGATACTGCTGGACTCTCCAGCCACCCCATTCCCAGCTGTGTCAGCTTCAGTTGGTTCTTTTTCTGTCTGGCTCAGGTTGGGATCTGATCACTTCCACTTTGGAGGGCATTGAAATTGCAACAGTCAAGTCTCATCACTGGATCCACTGATGGTGATATCTTTCCTCTCCACTATCTACTCTTATTTTTATTTTCTTTTCCTTATATATTTTCTTAAGTGATATCTTTATACTTTTATATTGTTATATTTCTGCAGATAATAACCAAAACATCTACATATCTCCTTTGCATTGCCATCAAATTGTTCTAAAATAAAGCTGCCATATACATATAAAAATATATATTTTTTTTTTTATATATATATATATATATAAACCCCAGTCATTCAGTGTTGTGTCACTCTAATCCCACCCAAGGGGTCTATCATTAACAAGAACCTCAGTTACCACACCTTCAGGGGTGGGTTGTAACACTTGGGCACTGGGAACTGTTCTGCTCCAAGGGGAAGGTTGGACCAGAGGCTTTCCAGAAGGCCCCTTCCCACCAGCACTCCCATGTGAGCCAGGTTTGGCCAAGAGAGGTCAATACCAACAGTTACCAAAGGATCCTCTGGTGCCAGAACATGGATCTCACCGTGAACTCCACGCTGTGCCCCGACAGGTACGTGAGGAGGTAGGAGGTCACGGGCAGACAGGCCTCAGCCACGGTGGGGTCACTGGAGTGGGACAGCTCGTGCAGACAACGGGCTGCCTCCAGCTGCATGTCGGCCAGGCTGCTGGTGAACAGCCCCGTCAGCGTCCGCATGCTGCCGTCCAGCCTGGTGGGACCCAAAGGCTGCTGTCACCTCCCACCCTGCTCTCACCCACCCAGCCACCAGGGCAAAGGGCCCCTCGGGACACGGTAACAGCCACGCCAGAGCCGGGCTGACCTGACAAACTTCTGCTGAGTGTCCTCGTTCTGCAGAGCCCGGCGGAGGCGGCTGAGAGATCCCTTCCTGTCCTCCGAGCCCCTCTGCACAGCTCTGAGCAGCTCCAGGACCTGGCCACGGAATCAAAACATAGGTGAGCTTTCAGCAGTACCAGCATTAAAATTTCTTCCCATTAATCCTGGAGGCAAAGGAACCCAGGGCATAAAGATGGGCACAGAGAACCTTACTGTGTCTGGCAGCGACCCAGAAACATTCCCTGCCCAACCTCCTTCACCTGCTGAGGCTGAGGAAGACCCCTGAGACTCTCATCACTACAGAGAACGTCATGTTCTTCACCTCATCCTCGGAGAGCGGGTCCGGCACGGCGTCTGCTCCATCCTGTCCCCCCTCCTCTGCCGCGCTGTCCTCCCGCAAAAGCCGCTTGCTGACCAACTGCTCCTCCCGCCGGGCTTTCCTGAGAGCTGCAATCGGATCAGGACCCGTCACCACCCGCCTAGGGCAGGACGCTTTTCCATCCCACCCAAGAGCCCCTTATTCCTCCCTTAACCCAAGGAGAAACTGTCCGTTCCTCCCTGTGCAGGCCTGGGAAGGATGTGCGGATCCACAGCTGGGATAACGGGCAGGAGCGCCGGACAGAGCTGCAAGGACCAGCAGCAGGGACCCGAGGCTGCTTTTACGAAGGATCATAGAACCAGTAAGGTTGGAAAAGACCTGCAAGATCGTCAAGTCCAACCTCCAGCTGAATATCACTCTGTATTCCAGCTGAATACCCACCAGCTGAACACGGCCCAAGTACCACGTCTACTTGTTTTTTGAGAACAAGTCCAGGCATGGGGACTCCACCACTGCCCTGGGCAGCCCCTTCCAATGCCTGAGCACCCTTTTGGTGATGAAATTTTCCCTAATACCCAACCTAAACATCCTCTGGTGCAATTTGAGGCCGTTTTCTCTTGTCTTGTCCTGTCGCTCGTTCCCTGGGACCAGACTCCCGTCCGGTTCCACCCTCCCGTCAGGGAGTTGTAGAAAGCGAGAAGGTCCCCCCTGAGCCTCCTTTTATCCCGTCTGAGACACGGGCGGGATCTTGGAAAACCCAAACCGCGGCAGGATGGCTGACGAAATGTGGAATTGTTGGCGGGATTAAATTTTTAAGCTGTAAAACGCTTCCCCGAGCGGGCAGGACCCACCGGTGCCATCACTGCGCGCACCGGGGGATGCGCGGTAGGACGGAGCGGGAGGGTCTAAGGGGACAAGGCTGAGCTGGGGCGTCCCTCCCACCCACGAGGGGACCCACAAACCCTCCCTGACCTGCCTCTCGCTCCCGCCGCAGGGCCCGCAGCTCCTCCGCACCGCGCCCGGCCCCGCGCCGGCCCCGCCGCCGGCCCCACATCGGGAAGGAGGAGGAGGAGGTGGAGCAGGAGGAGGAGGAGGAGCAGGAGGAAAAGGCCGTTCCCGGGGCGGTCCGGGGGCGGGGAGATGCGGAACCAGGCCCCCCAGCCCGCCCCGGGCACGGAGAGCTGTGCGTTGCCGGTGCTGGGTGGGATGTCTGTGCTGAGGCCAAAAAAAGCCCAAAGATTCACCAGAAATGCGAACCAACGAGTCTGGGGCCCTGGAATCCTCCACCGTGGCGGTGGTGGCTGAGGGGCAGAGGAGCTCGTGCTTCCTCAGGAAAGCGTTTGGGGGATTTGCAGCTGGTGGCCAGAAGCTGACAGAGCTGCCAAAAGGGGCAGTGACGGGAGCTCAGAGGGCAGCGGTGATTTTTCCACGGTGCACACAGCAGCAGTTTGATGGAATAACACAATGGTTGGGGATGGAAGGGACATTAAACTCACCTCATTCCACCCACTGCCATGAGCCAGGACACCTTCCACTAGCCCAGGTTGCTCCAAGCCCCGTCCAACCTGGCCTTGGACACTTCCAGGGATGGGGCAGCCACAGCTTCTCTGGACAACCTGTGCCAGGGCCTCCCCACCCTCATAGCCAGGAATTCCTTCCCAATATCCCATCTAACTCTGCCCTCTGTCGATGGGAAGCCATTCCCCCTTGTCCTGTCACTCCATCCCTTATCCATAGTCCCTCTCCAGCTCTCCTGGAGCCCCTTTAGGCAGTGGAAGGGGCTCTGAGGTCTCCCGGAAACTTTCTCTTGTCCAGGTGAACCCCCCCCAGCTCTTCCAGCCTGGCTCCAGAGCAGAGGGGCTCCAGCCCTTGGAGCATCTCCGTGGCCTCCTCTGGACTCACTCCAGCAGCTCCACATCCTTCCTGTGCAGAGGAGTTTCATGTAACCCAAGGATGGAGAAGAGGAATCATGGAATAGCTGAATCCCTCTGCACAGGAACACCAGAGGGTGTGGGACAGACAGCTCGAGCCCCAACTGTTGTGGCACTAATGTGTTATGCCACATTACCAACAACAAACTGGGAATGGCAGTGTCCAACCATGCAGCTTTGTTGCCTTCCTGAAGCCCTTTCCATATCCAACACAGGCAGAGAAATCCCTGGGAAAGAAAAAAATTCCTGAGAGATCCCAGAATCCCAGAATCACTGATATTGGAAAAGACCTCCGAGATCATCAAGTCTAACCTTTGACCAATCACCACCTTCTCAACCAGACCAGAGCACTGAGTGCCACATCCTAGTTGTGTCTTGAACACTTCTGGATCTTTCCAAATGCCTGGTGGTCTCCACTCTTAACCCCTCGGAGCAGGCACAGCCACCAGCTGCCAGAGGAGCACGGGGCAAGTGATATGAGTTCCTTGGCCAAGCTGCCAGCTTGTCTTGGGTGAGGCAGTGCCCTGTACAGCATGGAGCTGGTCCCATCCCCATCCTATGTGGAACAACCCTGGGGACGGTCTGGATGCCAGCTATGACAGTCCTGTACCCTTCTCCACTGCCAGTGGGCTCTGAGGCACAGCGATCCCAGAGCATCTGGAAGGAAAGGGCTGATCCTGAGACTGCCTTTGGGGAATCCTGACCACACTCCGCTCCATGCCCCTTCCCAGGAAAGCGAGCAGCGCTGGCACTCGGATCACAGCCTTGCCCAGCCCGCGGGGCAGCGAAGCAGAGGTGATTTGGGCGGCTGCTGCACGTGGCTTTGCTTCCCGTGGCTCAGCCGGCACTGCCCTGTCAGGAAGTCACGCCGAGGGCGCAGGGGCAGTGCCCGGGAGCCGCTCCCGGGGTGTCCGTCGGTCCCGACCCCCGACCGCGTGGATCCAACTGCGGGCTGCGGGAGAGCCATCGGCGGCTGGAACACGGGAGTGCCCCCGCAGGCATCGGGGGCTTATCCGGCCCGAGGCAGGGGGAGATCAGGTGCCGGAGAGAGCTGAGAACTTGGAGTCTCTGGCACCTCAGCCCTGGATTTGGCAGCGGTTAGAGGAAGCAGACGTGAGGGAAGGAAACATTTCTGAGCCGGCTGGTGAGTCACTGGACAAACTCACCCTCGATCCCACTGCCCCCCAAAGTGAGAGGGGCTTGGTGCAGGTGCTGGAGGAGAGTTTCTCCCCGGGAGGGTGGTGCAGCCCCGCGATACAGAGGTATGGAGAGATCCATCCTCGGAGGATTTTGGGATGTGGCCAAAAAAAGCTGTGGCTGATCGGGGCTGGTGCCGGCACAGACCTGCTAGAAGCAGGAGGCTGTACTGGGGACCCCCAAAGACTCCCCATGACTACAAAGCTGAGTCAGCACATTTTCAGGAGCCTTTGATCTCTGCTTGCTGCTTTTTTTGCAAGCTGGTGACCAGACTCTCCTGTCAGCAGTGCCTGGTGCTGACAGGGACCTGTAGGGACCCTCAGAGGTCATTTTCCACCATCCCTTTGGGGGCTGGTGATGAATCAAATTACTGGCTGAGAAGAGGGAAACCATGAAGCCCTCTGTTGCAATTTCCTGCCCCAGATTAGACAGGAACAAGCAGAGCTGGGGTTCTCCCATCCCATGGTCAGACTGACACATCTGGCCTCCCTGTCCGTAACTCGGCATTTCTAGTTTCTCCCGATTCCATGGCATTCCCTGGTCACTTAGGAGCAGGAGCCTGCAGCAAGGCAGCCCAGGCAGGACAGTGCAGAGCCTCAGGAGCCACCCTGCTTTTGGGGTGGAATGGGACCAGTGCCACTGGCTCCCTGCCACAGAGAGGGTGGCACAGGTGTAGCTCCTGGGTGTTGGCTGCTGGTCTGAGTGTTGCCCCGAGTCACGTAGCCAGTCAGGTAGCCCTCAGTAGCCAGGTGGGTGCCCATGGGGTGTGCAGAAGCAATGAGGGCAGTGCCATGTCCCCAAGGGGTGGCTCTGCAGGGCAGAACGTGCCCAAGCCAGGATGGGAGTCCCGCAAGTCCCGTTACCTGCTGTGCACCGTTCCCCCTCGTTTTCAGGTTGTTCACCATGAGTGTGGCTGTTCTGCTCCTCCTGGGGCTGGGGCTGTTGGGGGCAGAAGGCAGAAGAAACAGGTGTTACTTCAACCGCACCCAGGAGCGCTGTGTGTGCTACAACCTGACCGAGGAGACCGCGGGCAGCCTCATCCAGTGCCTCGCTGCAACTGTGGTGGAGTTTCGGGGGGGAGAGCTGGAGAAATACATAGCCTTCCCCATAAGGGACCTGGATGACTCTGTCATTGAGACTCTGGGCTCCCTCATCATCCAGAAAGTAATTATTGCTGATGTGCTGGTGCCTGAGATCCTCCTGGCCCGTGTGCTGAGGTTTTTCTCCTACACCCACGTGAAGGAGCTGGCGTTTGACAGCTGTGTTTTCCAGGGCACGGGTGACTGGCATGGAATGGATGGCCAGAGCTTGCCCATATTGTCCCTGAGCTTCAACAACGTGACATCTGCCCCGCTGATGGGCAATGAACAGGCCTTCTCCAGCCTGAGCACGTGGCTGGAGACGCTGCAGGAGCTGGCTGTCACCAGCTCCAGTGTCACCAGCCTGCCCTGTGCCATTGGAAAGGTGTTCAGAGCTCTGCATACCCTCGACCTGGCACAAAACAGCCTCGGGGATGGGAGCCTGACACCTGCCTTCTGCCAGGGAGCTTTCCCTCAGCTCCAGGTGCTGAGTCTGCAGCACAACAACCTGACGTCCTACCACAGTGTGTGTGAGGGCGTGCAGCTGCTGCAGGGGCTCCAGAACCTCAATCTCAGCCAGAACAAGCTCATGGCAGACCCATCCTCCTCCTGCCAGTGGCCAGCATCCCTCCGGATCTTTAACCTGTCCCACACTGGCTTGGAGGAAGTGCTGACACCTCTACCTCCCAACCTAGAGGTGCTGGACATGAGCCACAACCACCTCCGTGCTGTGGACATCTCCCTCAGCTCCCTAAAGAAGCTCTTCCTGAGCCAAAACCTGCTGCAGGTCGTCCCCTCCCTCAGGAATTACCCCGTGCTGGACACCCTCCACCTGGACAACAACTCCATCGCGGAGCTGCCGTGGGATGAGGTGACGCTCCTGGGGCGCCTGCAGGACGTGACTGCGGCCAACAACCCCTTCAACTGCTCGTGCTCTGGGGCTGGGGGGCTGCAGGCACTGGCAGCTATGGGGCACCTGGGGCAGGGCTGGCCACAGGACTACACGTGCCAGTCCCCGCCGGGCTACCAGGGCTGGCAGGTGGTGGCCGTGCCGGTGTCGGTGCTGCGGTGTCACCGCGCCGCCGTGGTCGCCCCGCTCTGCGTGGCCCTGGCCCTGCTGGGCCTGGCAGGGGCCCTCTGCCTGCTCAGGGCCAGGCCCTGCCACAGGGTGAGATGTTGGAGCCTTCCCAGCAGTGCTTCCACACAGGAGCTCCAAGGGAAGGATCACAGGCCCCCCAAGTGAGGGGCTCTCTCGGTGTCCCCAGCCCGGGCTGCCCTGGGGAATGTTATCCCGCTGAGCCTTTGCCCAGCCAGGTTTTGGGGCACCCCTCACTCAAAGCCCCGTGCCATGCTCTGTCCCAGGGCTGTACCCTCCCTTGTGGCCAGCTCCAGCTCTCCAAACCCAAACATGCCCCCATTGCCCCTGCGATGTCACCTGCCCCAGATAAGAAGAATTCAGCTCCATCATATTCCCACTCGAGGCACTCAGATGCCCCAAAACTCTCTGGGGTCTGGTGTTCCCTGCCCAGACCCCCACAACACCTTGTAGCCCCCCTTCCAGCCATCCTTGGAGCCTCTGTGGCCCCTCTGCTGGTCCTCCATCTCCTCACCTGGGGCTGGGCCTGGGCCAGGATGTTTGGTCTGTGAGGATGCTGCTTTGCTGCTCTTCAGCATAAGAGAAAACCCACAAAGACAGAAAAATAACTAAATTAAACACCCCCCACACAAATGCCAACGAGGAGGAGCAGCCAAGACCCGAGCTCTGGAGGCACCGATGGACCATCCCTCTGGTGTGACCTTGAGGACGTTCAACCAGAAACTTTTTGTGAAAAGAGGAAAATGGGTTTATTCTGGGTTATGCAGAGAATACCTCATAGTAAAGAGAAAATTGATTATGGGGTGCTGAGGGAGAGCAGAGGAATGCAGGACAATGGGGAATGCCTATGGGAAGGATCAAAAGGAGGGGGTGAGTGGGGAAGGGAAAGGCATGGGAAAATGGGGACTGGGGAAATCATAGAATCACAGGATGGTTTGGGTTGGAAGGGACTTAAAGGCCATGAATGTTTACGGGAAACGCTCAAAGGGAGGAGGTGGGTTGGGAAGGGAAAGGCATGGGAAAATGGGGACTGGGGAAATCATAGAATCACAGGATGGTTTGGGTTGGAAGGGACTTAAAGGCCATGAATGTTTACGGGAAACGCTCAAAGGGAGGAGGTGGGTTGGGAAGGGAAAGGCATGGGAAAATGGGGACTGGGGAAATCATAGAATCACAGGATGGTTTGGGTTGGAAGGGACATTAAAGGTCATCTCATTCAACCCTCTGCCATGGGCCAGGACACCTTCCACTAGCCCAGGTTGCTTCAAGCCCCGTCCAGCCTGGCCTAGGACACTCCAGGGATGGAGCAGCCACAGCTTCTCTGGGCAACCTGTGCCAGGGCCTCCCCACCCTCACAGAGAAGAATTCCTTCCCAATATCCCATCTAACCCTGCCCTCTGACAGTGTGAAGCCATTCCCCCTTGTCCTGTCCCTCCAGGCCCTTGTTAAAAGAAGGGGCTGGTTGCAGGTTGGCAGAGCTCACCTGGCCAAGCCCTGCTCTTCATCCCCTTGACCTGTCCTGCCTTCTCATTAGGGTCCTGGCTATTTTCTGGGGTGAAGTTCCTGGGTATTTTCTGTGTCCCTCCCTCTCTGCTCTGTTTGTGCACAGGTATATGTGACCTGTGAGCAAACACGGGCTGGGCTGGCTGGGAATGGAGGAAAACCAGAATGTGGAAAGACTCAAGGCTGGAGCAGGAGGGTGGCTGAACAGGACCTGGGGTCATGGCACCCACAGTATCATCCTGCTGTGGCTTTGCCCAGCCAAGTTCTGGGGAACCCCTCAAAGCCCCATGCCATGCTCTGTCCCAGGGCTGCACCCTCCCAGGGGGGTTTTCCCTGTGGTCAACTCCAGCTGCCCAAGCCCCAACATGCCCCCAGCACTGCTCCTGATGGAGTTCCTGGTGCTGCCTGTTCCATCTGTGTCCACCTGGCATCACCCTCACACCTGAGGCACAGGTGAGGGGGGTTTTGGGGAGGCAGGGTACTGGTTGTCTTCTGCATGGGGAATGGTGGCTAATGGAAGGATCCGTGTGCATCTCCTCATCGTGCCTGGTCCTGTCCCAAAAGGAGGGGTGGGGCTGTCCTGGGACCTCTCTCCTGTCTCCCATCATCTGTGTTTCCACAGACCAGGGAGACCCTCAGCTTTGGCGTTTCCTTCTGTGCTCTCTTGCTGTGACTCATCTCCAGTAAATGTGTTTCTGTGGTTTGTGGTCTCTTCTCATGCCTAGAAAACCTTCATGACAGCCCAAGGTCCTTCATCTCTCATCCATGACTTGCAGAGATGTCCGTCTTGGAATCAGGAGCACACCAATGGTGTGAGTGGCTCCAGGCACCCACTTGCCTCCCGTGGTCCTGCTGATTCCTTGGCCAGCAGGGCTCAGCCTCTGGAACAGGGTGCCTCCAGGTTGAGTCTGGCTCTGACTCCCATCAATAATGCAGGAGAACAGGACACCACCCTGTGTAACCCCATCCCCTACCCTGGCCAAAACAGCAGCTGCTGCTGCTCCTGCTGAGGTGCCCATGGACGCTGGGGAGGTGAGTGCCATGGTGGGGGACATCCCAGAGCAGTTTGGAGGGATCTGTCCCCTGATTTTGGTGCGGTGTGGCCAGGGGCTGCCCAGCTCCCTGGGGGCTCATCCAGCGCCTGGTGGGTGCTGAGTGCGTGGGGCAGGACCTGGCTCATTCCCCCTCTGTCCTGGGGCAGGGCCCTGCTCATTCCCCCTCCATCCCAGGGCAGGACCTGGATCATTCCCCCTCCATCCTGGGGCAGGACCCAGCTCATTCCCCTCTATCCCAGCAGGCCAAGCAGGATGTCAGCGTGCGAGCGGCCGTGGGACTCCACCAGGCAGCAGGTAGAGCTCAGGACGTGCCAGAGCCTTCACCTGAACCCCCACAGCAGAGAACAGGGAACCAGGGTAGCAACCACAGCTGTGGTGGCACTGGAACCACTGGCCACGCTGGTAGGCCTGGACTGGGCTGATGGGAAGGGAGTGTCCTCCCCACCCTGGTGACTCTGAGCCATAGTGGGAGGGCTCAGGAATGATGTGAACCCCCCAGACTGCAAGGGGAGCAGGACAGAGTGTGGGCAGGTAGGGGTAATGCCCACCCCACCCCACACTCAGCATTTTCAGGGCCGGGGGACAGCTGGGCAGATGGCACTGAGGACACCCTGCAGCTCCTCTTCGCTGGGAAGGAGACCCAGGTGAGAGTGGCAGGGACAGGGACATCCCCCAGGGACAGGGACATCCCCCAGGGACAGGGACATCCAGGGTATGAGGGGCCCTGGGGGACCAGGTGGGAGCAGGGGGTCTGTCCCACCGCCTGCCTCTCCTGGGACCCTGCTGGGTGCTGAGGATTTGGGCAGGTCCTGTTTTACACCCCTGGGGGCTCCTGGGGGTTCCCACACAGCAGGGGAAGGGAGGGGGTCTCCCCTCATCCCTGCCTGTGCCAGGCCCTCTGTGCCACCCCTGCCATCTCCATCCCAGTGTGCCCAGTTCCTCCTTTACCTTGCACTGGTCATGCTGGGATGGGGGGAAGCTGAACATTATCCCTTGTGGCAGGAGAGCAGCTTGGCTGTCGATGGTGTTTTCCGCCTGGATGCAGGACAGGTACCGTGAGCCCCAATTCCTTCTGTGCCAGGGACATGCTGGCCCAAGCCATGGGCTGGGACACCCAGGGGCACTGCCAGCTCCTCGGGGGTCACAGGCACTGCTGGGACACGGGGCTTGGTCCCATGGGGGGCTCTGTGGGTGTTTCTCATCCCTTCCCTGTTCCCTCTCGGTGCGGTGCCATGCCATGCCATCCATGCCATGCTGTGCGTCCACACCATGCCATCCATACTGGGATACCTGTGCTGGGATACCTGTGCCACATCATGTGTTGCCCTGCCCTGATCCATGCCAATGCCCTCTGTGCCATGCCATCCCTGCTCTGCTGGATACGTCTCTCCTGCCAGGAGAAGGTCCTGGAGTTGGCAAGACCCCAGCTGGCCCTGGTTCCCCTTGGCTACAGCGTGTCCCTGCTGCTGTGGGACCCCCACGGCCCTGGGACACAGCTGCCCTTCCAGAGTGTCATCTGGCAGGTGAGGGCACAGGGGAGAGGTGACAGGGAGGGGTGACAGCACAGCCGTGCTGGGCTGCTGGATCACCCAACGGGCCCCGATCCTGCCTGGTGTGAGACCAACAGCTCCCAGCTTGTCCCCAGGTGATTGACACCATCTTCCAAGAACTGGAGGCCTTGGGGGATGACACACAGAGCTTGCAGACAGTCAGCCTGGTCCAGGTATGGCAGGAGCAAGGCAGGATGTCATGGAATGAGGGTCCCATTTCCTCTCTGCAGCTGCCCAGACCCTGCTGTGCCAAGGGCATGTATTACATTATATATAATATATTATATATTATAGTATTTATTACATACTGGCATCCAATACCCTCATCCTGAGGGTGACCAGGAGCTGGAGATCTTTGAATCCCAGGTTTTCTCACCTCTTTCCAGGACCTGCCAGGTGTGGGAAGCCTTGGCTGCCCATGGAGCATCTCCCAGGCTCCAGCAGCCTAGTAGGATAAGGGGAGCCCTCAAACCCCTTCCTGCCCATCTCATGACTGGGCTTTTCCTGACAGTCACTGATCCCTGTGGCCTGAAGGTCACTCTGTGTGACCTTGATTGGCACAGGAGTGATGCCAGCTCCTGCCACCCTGCTGGGCCCTGCCCTTTGGCTCTGGGATGCTGCCAGGGACCTGCCAAGCTCCACACAGGGCGTTCCCAGGGCTCTGCCCTTCCCTGGCCCCAGGGACGGAAAAGCTGGGAGTGACCCCAAGATCAGCCCTTCTCAGCCCTCACCTGTGCACAGCCACGAGCAGCCCAGGCCCCTGGGGAGTGCAGGATGCCAGCAGCCCCCTCTTCCTGCCCGCCTGCCTTTACACAGCCCCCCTTTCCAGGTCAGTACCCACGACAAAGCCTGGGACCTGCTCCATCCTGATGGCCGAGCCCTGCAAGTGATGGATGTCACACCCCTGGGCCTGTAGGTACCTGATGCCCCGTGGCTGGGCAGGTGCTCCTGGGGGGCTGGAACCCCAATGTCGAGGGTAGGGCTGGGCAGGGAACACGATGCCCAGGGAGCACAAATCCCCCAGGGCATGCAGGGGGTGGGTGCCCATGGCCCTCCTTGCTCACTGTTGTCCCCCTCTGCTTCCAGGATGGTGGAGGAGGCCACGGAAATCGCCGTGCCCGATGCCCAAGCTGCCATCAGCGCCTATGCCAGGGGGCTGGGTGCCATCCCAGTGCTGTTCCAGGGGTGTGCACGGCAGCCCCTCGCAGATGGGCACCCGGTGCAGGGGTGAGGGCAGGGAAGGATTGGGCTGTGGGGTGCTGGGGTGGCTCTGGAAGCTCTGCTCCCACACTGGCCTCTCCCCAGGGCCGGCAGCCTCTTCACTCTCACCGTGGAGCGGGAGCTGGAGGGTGGCAGGTGCCAGCGCTCGGCCCTCAGGATCCTGGTGTCCCCGGGGGCCACGGGGCCCTGCCCCAGGCTGTACGTACCAGGGCTGAGCCGTGCCCCCCTCCAGCTCCCCGTGTGCCTGCTCCAGGCTGCAGGGATTCTGTACCCGGAGGTGAAGCAGGAGAGACCCAAACACCCCAGAGGGAGCCCGTGGCTGGGAGCCAAAGGGGTTGTCACCTCCCCTTGGGGATGTGGGCTCCCTCCCAGTGTGACCAACCCATCCTTGGGCTCCCGTGGGTCGGGGCTCAGCCTGCCTGGCATGTGGATGCCAGTGCCATCCCAGGGTGCCTCTCACTCCACGTGCAGGGAACCTGACACGGGCTGCCAGCCCTGGATTGTGGAGCGACTGCTGGAGGGGAACAGCCTGACCTTCCTGCTGCTGTGTGTGTCACTGCCAGGTAGCCCCTGGGACAGGGACACACTTCGGGGTGTCCCCTCCCTGATGTTTCCCCCCATCCTGCCCCATGCCTGGCACTCAGTCCCAGGAACACTCGCGGTCATTGGAAGCCAGACACCGGCTCCACTCATCCCCATCGTACCAGAACCCCCCGTGCTGGTGTCCCCCCATGGCCCCTACCCAGGGCTTGCTGCTCTCCCAGACACCTCCAGGGAAGAGATCCTGGGAGCCCTGGGGCTGGCTGAGAGGGTGAAGGGTCTGGCCAAGACCATCTCTGCCACGCTCTGGGACCCTGCGGAGGAGATCACGGCTCGCCGGAGGGAGATCTGAGG